TAAAAAGGATTTGACACGTGAAGTGCGAAAACTTTCTATTTTTATATTATTTCCCTTTTACATTTTTATGGCAACGTGTGAGGAATTCTTTCTGCCCGTGTACGTGTGAGCGTTGGTGTGTGTGTGTGTGAGTGTGTGTGTGAGTGAGAGTGCGTTTGATGTGTGCTGATTGCCAGTGCCAAAAGAGCGAGCGCCCATCAAGCTCAGCGTGTGAGTGTCGTCATCGTCGTCGTCCTCGTCCTCGTCGTCGTCGTCCTCGTCGACGCTCGTTAGGATCTGCGGATTGAATTTCAATGGCGATTGATGACGGCTGCATGTGTGCGGTTGTTTGTGTGGGGGGAAGGTATTAGTCCGCACAGCTTGTACCGGGACAGGCAACAACTTTTTCCCAGAACTCAACCCGCACCCGAACTAAAAACCAGAGCTCTAGTCATACCAAGAACGCGACTCCGATTCGAGTTTCCCTACTCATTTTATGATAATGCTCGAACCTGGCGTTAATGAGCTCTTAAGCTTAAATAAGAAACGTGATTTAGTTACTAAGTAAACTAGGAAATAGACGGCATCGCCCTGCAGAAGCTGTGTACGCGCTGCAGAGGCAAAATCTTGGCTTAATTTGAAAAGTTTGACAGCGCAGCCAGCCAGGATGCGCTGCCACCAGCACACCAGCCCACCAGTCCACCAGTCCACCGCAACCCATCACGAAAAACACGTCAGGTGTAGGGAGAACAAACACACACACACACATATTCGCACTTCTGCTCCTGCCACACAACGGAATCGAACTCTTTGCATACAATATTTCGCCATTTAATTGCCGGCTCGGACAGTCAAACAGCAAATGAAAAAAGTTTCACGATTCGTGTGAATCATTGGCAGGGCTGTTGGCCCATGACCAGCACGTGTCCATCAGCCATTGGATCAGTGCTGCCAGTTTTAATAATTTTCAGCTCAACTCGAACTAATCAAAACTCAGACACCCTCCCAAACTAGAACCAGAACCCCAACCAAAAACCCCAGTCCACACGAGTTGACAGTTCGGAAAGGGCAGAGTCAATGCACCCTACACACTAGGCAGCACAAAGCTGAAAATTGAATGCTCTGTAATATGCGAAATTAAATAGATTATATTGCAGGAATATCTACATATCTGGTATAGTTCCACTCGTAGTCAACGTTGACGTCCAGCCCATGCTACCCTTCTGGTGAGTGCATCGCCAAAACCCTTTTCATGAATAACTCAACTCACTTCGGCTCATGAAATTTATGTAAATCTGCTGGAAATTGAAATATGCAGATGCTCGTTTCGAAAATTAGAACGAGGCCAAAAACATTCGAGCAACAAAAATGTATGTATTAAAATATATTTCGCATTTTATTAAATTTGACAATATGATAAGTTCTTTGGCGGGCGGACGACTGTGTCAAGATCCCGGCCAGACCAAACCTAAATTAAGTAATAAGTTTCGTGCGCCTTGACCTCAAGGGTTCACACCCAGCTCCCCAGCCAAAGGACAGGACAGGACAGGACAGAACAAGACATAACAGGGTAGAAGCGGGCAGAACAGGAATGGGACATGTACGAGCATTGGCCTTGTGTTGACACACTCCTGGAAGACTTTTGCCTTTTGTGGTCGAAAGGTTGAGTGCGTGCGACGCAGACGAGCAGATTTTCTTATTAAAATTATACAGATCTAAAGGCGTGGCAAGGCGTTTAGGGTTAATTTTGGTTGCTCGTGAGAATCCTCAGACTCAGACCCGAGAACAGGGACCCGCAGTTAACCCAAACCCCAAGCACGGGGCACAAAAGTTAATGTGATTAATGTTTACTTAATGAAATGAAGTTATCAAGTTGATTTTATCAATTTGCACACAGGCGCCGGCACAGACAAAAGGACCTCTCTATAGCCTGTCAAAACTGGCGCCGGTGTGATGAAGGTGCTCGATAGGATTAGGTGGGTTTTCCTCACTCACACCCCCTCTCTTACTCTTGATGGAATGCAAAGAGGCAAGCGGTTTTCTTTGGGTTGAAAGGCATATTAGTTAAATGTGGTTGACAAGCGGCTGCTCGAGTGTTGGCCAGGCAAATATTTGAAACTTTCTGGCAGAGCCAGAGGATGCCTCAAGCCGAGATGAGATGAAATGGCAGTCAGTGAGCCGTGCCAGTGCTGGATGTCAGTGCGGTGCGGTGCGGTTGCTGCAATCAGTGGACGGAAAGCCAAAAGGAATTCCATAAAAACAAGTTCAATTAAATCGACGCCAGTTGGATTTTCCCTTTGCGTCTTTCGTTAATCAATGCGTTTAACGTTTTCAATCAAGCAACTGGCAAAAAGACAGCCCTCGAGAGGGGGACTCGACTTGAGTCGAGTCGAGTCGACTGCACAGACAGACAGCTCAAATTCAGTTAAGCATTTCACTTATTTGCATATAAATTGATTAAAAAGAAAATACATGCCAGACAACTCGCACAGTCAAGTTTTGAGTGTGTCAACATGGCAAAGGACGAAAGGGTCTTTCGCTCTTGGTCCCATTGCCATTGCCATTTCCATTCCCATTCCGATTCTCTGTTCTCGATTCCCGTTCTTGTTCTGCTTTTTCTTGTGGATGTGTTTCTGTTACGGTTTCTCCGTCTGCCCGCCGCCGCCGCCGCCACCTCACTCGTTCTTTCCCTCTTTTGGCAATTTCTGACACTTCAAATGCGTATGATTGTTTTCCTTTTGATCAGCGAATTGTGAAGTGATTCACTGATTGAGTTCGGGCTCAGTTGATGCGTTGACAACATCAATGCACACACTCGCACTCACGCCCCTCCCCCCCCCCCCCCCTGCTCCTGTCTCTGGTCAGTCGCTCGCTGCTTTTTCTGCAAGTCCCTGGCAAAGCCGCCAGCAAAGGTAACACTAGTGGCAGTGGCCGGTGGCCAGTGGTCCGACTGTTAATCAAGGTGAACGACTCAACTGCGCTCAAGTCCGGCAGGACTAAAAATTCATTCATTCGCTTTTATTTCCAAACGAAATGTTAGATGAAAGGGTCCCACAAATTATTTACTTTATTTCCGTTTCAAAATTATTATTAAATATAGTCACAAATTTAATCTTCTACAAATAAATACAAACCCAATTGAATCCGTTGGTCTGTTTGGATCAGAGTTCAATGATCTTTCTCTTGCCACTGTTTCGATGAAGCAAAGTGAGGAATTCCCACGAGTGGGACCTTTTAATTTATTCGCGCTAATTATAGGGACGTGAGTCACCGTCTGAGGACACTGTTTACCAACGACGGGGCTCAATGTGTTGTGGCCCACCTCTGGGCTCAGCTGTTGCCTAGTTCCATTTTGTTGCCATTCGATTTTTTTGGCGGCGCCTTCGGCAGGAGACACAGTGCGGCGGCCGCTGCCGAGGCCTCTATTTAGTTCACTTTCAATTCGTTTGCCGCGATGTTGTTGAGGGCCATGCGCACGAATAGCTTGCGGCGCAGCTTCAAGGTTAATAGTGTATGAATAAATCATTAGTGGAGCAAAGGACAGTGTTATGTTTGTGGAGGTGCACTGGTTCAGCTGAGTGTTTTTCAATGCATATTACGCATACGCATTACTGCTCTCAGAATGCCTGCCAGCTGTGATTCGTGGACGAATAATAATAATAGTGTTGTCGCACATCTGGGTCACATCAGGCAAACACACACACGAGTCATAGATAAAAACATTGTGCTTACCCTGCCCTGCCGTGTGTGTCCCGGCCTCTTATTTTCGTTAATGGTCAGCCGACATGGCAATGCACTCAGGGCGTATGCATATTATATTCGACACATTGGACACGGCCTCTCCTGTCTCGTCCTGCCCCTGTCCCGATGCGACTTGCGGCTGGGCTGCATAAAACAAGCTTCGATTGCAGCCAAAGTCAAGGCAATTTCGCAAATTACATGTCCTTGTTGCAAGTAAACAGACAAGGGCGCCACAGGGGCAGGAGCAGCAGCAACAACAGCAACACAAAATAAGAACTGAACAAATAATCAATACTTAATTCTGGGCGAGAGTTGAGCTGCAACAAAACTGCAGTGAAACGTCCTAGATAAGGAAGGAGAAGATACTTTTGCCAAATAGTAATGAAAGTTTTTCATTCTCCGATTCCAAAATAAACTTGCAAATACGACTTTCAAAATGCACTATATGTTGAAAAATATTAGACCAAAAGTATTCCAATTTCTCATCATCAATTAAAGTTTTAAGTCCGAATTATTTACTTGCACACAAATGCATATTTTTTTATGTATTTTCGTCATTGATGCACTCAATTCAATGGATACTTTCACGTATCACATACGCGTATTCCCCGATTTATATTCCCAAAAAAAAAAAGAATCATCTGATCTCCTCTGAATGTCATCAGCCTAATTTGACTCTGAACTTTACGCTTTGGCTGGGACAAAAAGTACAAAACTACTGTTTGTCAGCCCTGGCAAACACCAGGAATCGCATACTTTTAGGCCCTTTCATTTTTATCTGGATCAATTTTGCATACCGCGCTCCCCACGGTTTTATCTTTGTATCTTTTTTGTGATGGCTCATGTTTGTCGCGGGCAAACATTCGCCGGCGACTGGCACGAAATTGGCCCCCGAAACATTCCACACTTTAATTGAAATAAAATGTTTAGAAAGCCAACCAGGTGAGGCAGACAGAGAGAGAGAGAGCCAGAGCTAACAGATGGATGAGTCAGGTGGGTGAGTCTGTTGGGGGCGCACTGTCTGCTCTATATGACCGTAAATGCTTTTTAGTAACTAGTTTGGGCTTCTGCCTACCCGCCTCACATCAGCCCACAAACTCATATTTCATTTCCATTCATTCCAACGCGCTCTCTCTCTCTCGTACTACCTACCGCTATGCAGTACGAGCGTGTGCCTCCTCTCTCTCTCTCACTCCCTGGCTCTTTCTGTCTCTGTCTACGCGCGCTCCAATGTTTATTCATTGCCACCGCTTTACTTTTCGCTTTCAGTTTGCATTTCAAAGCCGCTAAAGTAACAAGTATCTTGCAGTTATCCATTCAGTGGAGCGAAAATAAAAACATCGAAGCCAGCGGAAGCGGAAAAGTCGGGGAAACATACACATTTTCTATATAGCCAGTGAAAAGGGCCATTGAAAACCGCACCATGGAAGTAAGTTCTTGGTCTTCGCCAGACTTTTTTCGGGCTTGCTGTTTGTTATTTGTGTGGCTAAACTTTTGCTGGCGACCTTCACCTTGGGCTCCAATTAGACAGATTGCGAAAAGTGCTTTCACCAAAATGAAAACCTTTTGCACAAATTTTCCATTCCCTGCCCACTACCCTGCCTTGTGCTGAAATCAACTTAATTGAAGGCATCCGCTTAAAGCTTGTGACGCAGCATGAGAGAGCATCTTGGGGAGAGATCAGCTGAGTGGGGCCGGCCTACCGTGTGATTCATCCGGTTACGAGTGCTGACGAACGCGGCACCTCCACTGATCTCTGGTTTGGAATGGTTTTTCATTACACATTGGATTTAATTATATGTTCCATAATTGGAAATATCAGTTAGTCAGTCTCTTATGCATTGCTCTCGCATTGCCGCAGTGGAAATACCTTGGTGGTTATGATAAAATATAATGAGTGTAAACTCAATTTGAGGCGTTGATTTATTGTTCAAGGGGGAGATTGTGCTGGGTTTAAGAAGATAAAAATCGTTCACTCGAAACAATGAGACTCTTACGTACATTATGAACATTCCATACAATTTCTTGCAAAATATGTACATCAGATGAGAAGTAATATATAAACCACTTTTCCATTTTCCTACAAGAAATCACAGAATAAGAATATAAAATAGAAACATTGCTTTATTTAAAATCATTTTACTGACACTATTAAAATGTTAAAATCAATATGTCGTCTTGGGTAGCATTAAGTGACATTTAAATGGTCTATGGACTGTCATTAAAACACTTTGGGCAGATAGTATGCATGTAATTAACTTAATATTGAAAAACGTAACTTGCAGTCGCCCAACGGAGACCTTTACACGCTGGAGGCGAACCTTATGAACAAGTCTCTGCGGGAACTGACAGATGGCGCCGACAAGGATCCCATTACCAAGCTGCGTCTGCTCTGCTTCAGCCGCGGCGCAACAGGCATCCTGGGAATCGGCAGGTGGGTCGCTGATTGACTTTGAATGACATTTGGAATGGCTACAGTCACGAGACGAAAGTGTGCCGCCGAGTGCGATGAATTATGCAAGAGTAACAATTTAATTTTATATTATTCATGGCAGAGCCTTTCGGGCCATGGACGACGATGGCAGCAAGGCGCTCAACGAGCAGGAGTTCATTTCGGGCATACGCGACACCGGTCTGGATGTGACGGATGAGGAGATCAGGGAGATGTTCAACACGTGAGTGTCTAATGGCCAATTAATCTGCTTGCAAATTTAATTATTTGTATATCCAACTTTCAGGTTTGATGAAGATGGCAGCGGCTCCATTAACATGACTGAGTTTCTGGTCAAACTGCGCGTAAGTACGGCACATTCGCTTGTAATTGCTCGGACTTTGAGAGTACTTCTCTACAGCCTCCCATGCCAGAGTGCCGCGTGGGCATTATCGACCAGGCCTTTGACAAGATGGACCGCGACGATGATGGCATCATCACCGTTGCCGACCTGAAGAACGTTTACTCGGTGAAGGAGCATCCGAAGTACCAGAGCGGCGAGATGAGCGAGGATGAGATACTCACGGACTTCTTGCACAACTTTGAGGGCGGTCGTGGCAATCTGGATGGGAAGGTGAGCTCCAAGCTCCTCCATTGATGATTCATTACCTTTAAATATCGAATGTTTGTTTGTAGATAACCCGGGAGGAGTTTATCAACTATTATGCCACCATCAGTGCCTCCATCGACAACGACATGTACTTTGATCTGATGATGCGTAGAGCCTATGCCATGTAACTGAAGGGATTACAGTTCCAGCACTCGAACCACTTAAATCTCAATAGCTTGTCTAGTTTTAGATCCTTCATGCTTCATGCTTCATGTTATATTTATACTATAGACTCCCCAGAAAATAAATAAAAATCCCCTTGTTACAATTAAATGCATGTCAGCTTAACCCTGCTGGGCAAAGTTCCAAATGTTCGCCAGCAATGAAAATGAAGTACGACGAGCATGTACGGTCATAATTCGAATTTGAAATACTTTGGCAAGTGGCTGGGATTCTGGATTCTGGATTCTTGGTGAAGAATCTTGTGGGGTTCACGTTTGTGGGGGCCAAAGCGATTTAAGCCAGCTGCAAGTTTCTTTAACTCTGAGCATGTGAAGTGTTTGTCAAATATGCAAAATAACAAGTAACAAGTTTTCTCTAAACATTTGTTCGTAGTTTACACTGAAATTTAAAGTGTGAGTGCCGCTGTATGTGTGTGTGTGTGGGCCCATAATCAAGCCAGAGCGCCAAAGACGGCAATCATTGCAACAAACAAGGACCCAGCCTCGATCCTGAGCGCAGCTCCAGCTCCAGCAACCCTAGTCCCCAAAATGCTTGCCAGACTCGGCAAATTGTTTGGAATTGTCAGCAGCAACGAGTTGGTGTCATCTCTGGGTGCATCTGTGTGCCACAGTGAATCTGTGTGTTTGTGTGCTGACTGGTTGGCATTTATCACACAGCCAGGCCGGAGATGCTGAGCAGCGGCAGCCTAAATGTATGCTTTAAATTATGCAGACACCAGCTGAGATTGTCGCCACATGCATCCCTATTCCTTGTGAATGCCAGTGTGTGTGTGTGTGTGTGTGTGTGTGCTGCACGTGTATTTGTTTGTACGTGGCAAGTTTGGGCACTGATTGCAAGCAACTCATACAAAATTTTAATTGCCAATGTTGAAATTACGCACTGAGACAAAGAAAGAGTGAGGCAATGGCGAGGGAGGGCCCGGAGAAGACAGACTTGGCTAACAAACCATATGCAATCGTGCCTTGGCATCGCACTACCAGTCTACCAGTGCTGGCTGTGTAAATCACACACTCACAACTTTATCGTATCATTTCATTAAATTTTATTTACAGCCTGGCAACTGAAGTTGGGCCTCGCCTCCCATTCCTTTGCGCCGGGGCAACGGGACAACAGCAACTGTGGCACTTGGAAGTTGGAAGTTGGGGGATGCCGAAAGTTCTTGCCGAAGACCCAAATGCTCGGCTAATCAAAAATTTTCAATTGCCATTTTTGTTTGGAGTCGTTTGCAATTTCTTCTCAAATCCCAAATCTCCCTCCACATACCCATTCGCACATGTCAGGAACTCCACAAAAGGCAATTTCAATTAATTGCCTCTCGAACGAGGCTCTGGCTCTGGTTCTGGCTCTCAGTTGTTTTCCGCACGTAAGCCTGAAAACTCCTTTTCAATGGCTTGCATTCACACATTCACACTCAGCTTGCAGAGTATGTGCATAAGCATTAACTTTCGAAAACATTTATATTTATTTATGTGTGGTGGCCAGGAAATCAATAAAAATCCCATATAAATTAAAAGATTTGTCGGTCAGCTCGCCATGACTCAATGGGATTGAAAATAGCAAAAGGCAGACCCCGACTTCATCGAGCAGAGCGTTTAAAGATAGTGTGAATATTCGGATATGCTATCGAAAATTATCAAGATAAGGCATCCAAAAAGAAGCATTCATGTAAGCTGGAAAATCAGCCTGTTTCCATTGGCGAATGTTTAAGCTAAGGCTTCGCCTCGGGCGTATAGGAAGGCAGGAGCGACTAATGCATTATTTAAATCTAGTTAACACTTGGACATTTGCCGTTGATTGAAAAGGACAAAACAGGCGAAAAGTTAAGAGGACATATCGTTAGATAGAGGCAAAACCAGAGCCAGACCCGACAGAGGCCTGGACAAATGGAAGAGCAGCACATAAAAATAATAATAATAAAAGGCAGCCACAGGCCAACGGTGCTTGGGACATCATTGACTGAGTATTGAATACATTTCATTGCATCCAGCATGGGGGGAATGGGACCGGCGAATGGAGACCGAGCCGAAACCGGATAATGGAGAACAAGGCGGTGTGCGGGATGCGGAACACGGGATGGTAAATGGCGAAAATGTATCCCTCTGTGGTAGGCATTGAAGTGACGAAACTGGAAAATATTTCAGTCACGTTTTAAATGTAAAAATCTCAATCACGTGATCGAAATGCGCGCATTCACAATATGCACAGGCTACCAGCTGGAAAAAAAAGACCCTGAAAGAGCACCAGAGGGCCACAGAAGCCCATTGGCAGACATTCTCGTACAAGCAGACCGAGACAAAAGTACAGGGCATGGTGTGGGATTCCACGTTGGGATTCTGGATTGGGGCCGGGCACTTGGACAACGGTAAATCGAAATGAAGCCCAGGAATGAATGCGGCAAAAGCCCTTAACAGGTACTTGGTGGATCGATGAGTTAATGTCGCCATTGGCAGGATTGCAGTCAGCCGACGCGGCGTCGTTGGCTGCCGTGGCTGTATCTAATTATGTTATTGTTGCTGCTGCTGTTGCTGCTGCTGCTCCTCCGTTACCGTTGCATCAATTCTGGCCGCTCAAATTGCATAATGTATGCAAAAAGCTTAACTAACTGTGCGCATCGCTGATTGAAAAATTGAAATCATGTGGCATTTACTCGGACAGCAGCAGCACAAGCAGCTCTCGGACTCACTCACACACTGGCACACACACACACACACAAACACAGAAACACACAGACATGTGTACCTGTGGAGAGCACACAATTCGCTACAGTTTCCGTTTCCTTTGCACGCAGCTCGTGTGATTTTCACACCGCTCACTTGATTGATTGAAATGTTCGCCATTCCCATCATCATCATCATCGTCTATGCCCTTACAGAAGGTACATTAAATGTTGCCATAAGCTTATAAAGAATTTTAGTCATGTTGCTCCTAAAAGGCCATAGTCATTCTTATTATTTTGTATTTATAAATGCAAAATTCTGTTTAATTTGATCATTTTCATAGAGGATATATAAAGTTTCGGACTGTCAAGTGTTACCCCTTCTGTTTACTCTTGATATATTTTTTTGTTACTGCTGTCGGATGGCACTTTGGTCAATTTTTTTAATGACAGCGCTCTTGTTCAGTTTTTTGTCAGTGGAGGGACTGTCATGTAACGCTGGTTTAATTGCAGGCTATCGATACTCGAGGGCCCTTGGGAATGCTTAACTTAATTCGCGAATGATTGATTGTATCCAAAGCCTTTAGTGGGTTAATTTGTTGTAATTAAGAAAAAATTAATTATAATATATTTTGATAAGCACAATAAACTCAAGTTTCTGCAGATTTCAAGTGCTAATATTTATTTGATTCATATTTGAAGAGATAAAAATGGAATTTGCTACGTGAAATTCGAATTTATTCGTGAGAAAAAACGAAAAATATTAATTTTGAACAACATTACCATGTACAGTAAAAGCAAAATTAATCATGTGTATTTAACAAGTATGTACCGTACATTCAATGTTTTTGATTTCATGGTCATATTTCTATGCAAGTACTGAGTCCGATATAATCGGATAAAAAAATATTCCATTTATTTTTTCTTACTACAAATATTTTACGAATGTTGTATATGCAGTCTGTGGATGTGCTGTCTCAAAGTGCGGAGTGGATGATGCAGTCACCTCATCGAATTCCGGCCAGCGCTGTCACATTGCGCATACGCAGCGTTGCCGTTTTGTGCATATAAGCCGCCAATTTGTGGGGCGCATTAAAATGCATTTAGTCACGGGTCAACATTAGAGCCAAAACCCAAATGGCAAATGTTAATGCCTGCTTTTGTCGGGCATTAGCTGCTTTTGAGTTTTGTTTAGCGAAATTCACATTTATGGCTGTGGGTTGCAAATGAACATGCAAATGCGAGTTTTATTATGGACATTTTATTATTGTGCCAAAATGTGCCATTAAATACATCAGGTGGTCGTGTTTTAGTGTGTCTGCTCTGCTGGTGAGGTAGTCCCACTGCGGTTTTGTGCACGGCCATTTATATGCCAAAAATATATTTTCAACATGACAGCGGCAACAAAAAATCAATTTGTAAATGTTTTCGGAGTCGAAGCGAGACAGACAGCCCCCCGACCGGCGAACTTTGACAATTCGCACAACTTTTTGCTGCTGCTGTTTTCCTGTTGTTGGGGTTGGTGTTGGTTGGCGGCAATTGCCGCTGCATATTTTCAGTTATTGCTGGCAGAGCGAAACGCACGAAAAACTGCCAAGTGACCCCATTGGCAGCTGCAGTGTCCTGTCTGTTTTGTAATTAGCGCTCGGTGCGACTCTGTTCTTCTCTGCTCTGCTCTGCACTGCTGTTGGCATTCGGGGAGTTTCTGACCTCAATTACTTTGTCACCATTTCAATTTGCAATTTCAGCCATTAACTAGTTACACTCAATGCAATTAAACTTGCACTTTTCCAGTGGCACCAACAGCAGCAGCAGCAGCAGCGCGGCAGCAAGGTAACACCCTGCAAGAAACGCGACAAACTTGCCACGCCCCCCCTCACATCGGAATGATGTCAGCGATTTCAGCCACCGCAAAGTGTTGTCCCTGATGCTGTTGTACTAGTATCTGTATTCCAATCTGCAGTTGTTGTGTGGCACAGAGTGAAAGTGCCACTCGGCACACCTATACTACGAGTGCACACACACACACACACACACATACAGACACAGAGGGAAGCCCTTTTCGTCGTCGTCCAGCTGCATGTGCGTTCCATTGGAATAATTTGAAATTGGAAAAAACATTCTCTTTTTTCCATCTTCTCATTGAGTTAATTGCAAATTGGATGAAATTGTAATTTTACACTTCATTTGATTCAATTCATGGCTGATTGACAATTTAGTTTTTCATTAAGGTAACTATATATAGATACATCGCCATCAGCAGTTCTTCAGTGGGTCGGGCCTTCAAGGATGAGCCAAGAAATTGTGGCCAAATATGACGGCTCCTTGATTGCAGGACGGAAAGTATGTCAATGTGCTGAGCTCCAGTAACGGGCAAAACTGCAGCGACACAAGAAAAGCCATCAATTTTATTTAAAGAATCGGCTGGGGAAGGATAAACTTCGAATATACATACGTACATACATATATAAATATTTACACATTTGTTCAATAAAATGTTGGAAATTTCTTACATATTTCCCTAGACCACAAGTGGTTTGTACAGACCGCAAAACTGACCTCAAACAAAAATGCGGTGTAGAAATTTAGAAATATTTCGTAGGCCCAACACGGATTCCAAACTTGCAACAGATAGTGTACTTTTGTTGGCAACAACATTTGAGCGTTAAATTCTTTCCAATCAAGAAGGCATTAAACTGTGAAAATGCAATCGATTCTGCATATTTGCACTTTCAATGTTCAATGTCGGAAAAATTAATGGCCGTAATAGTTTGACAAGTGCAAATCATGAAAATCTCACCCCATCTCCAACTCACAGGTTGATTCACAGGTTCAGGAATAATTTTGATCGATAAATCAGTGGGAACGGGTATCCTTAGTCTCTCATCGTGTGCTGAAATCTTCATTCAAGAACCATGAAGCACTCTACAGGGGTTGTACTCGTAATAATTGAATAAAAAGTCTGCAATTAAATTGCCCGTAAACAACATTATACTCGGCTCCAGTTCAATTGAGTCAAATGTCAACAAACAGAAGCTGATTGGATTGCAAACATTTATTTAACTGCAGCTAGCAGCGAGCCTTAATGCCGCATTTCAGTCCAGTTGATCGGATTTAATTTCCGTAAAATAAATGAGTTACCCCAATAATGGGGTAATATCTCAATAATAAATCAAGTAACATAAGGGAGGTAGGTGATCGCGAAATTCTTCCCACTCTTTGAAGTGTCTTTGCATCACTCTCCGTCAAAAAATTGAAACAAATAGAAAGAATCTTAAAAAAAAATTGGATATCGTACCGCAGCCGGTAGGATTCGAACCTACGCTCCCAGAGGGAATCTGATTTCTAGTCAGACGCCTTAACCGCTCGGCCACGGCTGCTTTGGTAACACTCGTCCGCTAAATATCTTACAAGAAGCCGTTCCCTATGGTATAACCTATAAATAGATCATTATATTTAACAAAAGCGTCCAATACATATTAATAAATTTCCCAATCTCTTGCCAAGAAACTACGAGAGAAACTTGTATCTATTCACATGGTTATCTCCATAGATAAGTATAAGTGGTCAAGCGTTTTTTATTTTAAATTGTTGATACAGTATTCATTGTTGTTGTTTGCAAATAAAACTTAAGATTAGGTACAACTGTGGCGCTTTCATAAAATATCATTTAATTATTTTATTAGGTATACTCGTATTATACAAAATTGTAGACCACTTTGTGCTTAATTGCTTTTTTTGCATTTTGTAACTTTACATTACCAGACAAATAAAACCAGTTTATGAACGTATCATATGTCATTATAAAAGTTATTTTCGGTAAAAGTTTTTCGGAGGAATTCAGAGTTTGTATGATCTTTTTAGCATAAAGTATAATTTAAAACAGATTAAGCTTTTTTGACTGTTCCAGACCCAGTTTTCAGTCAATTTTACGCCGCCAAATGGAGGCGGGGTTTAATATTTTAAAATTTAGAATTGGTTGGTCTTTCGATCCGGGCAATCAATAAATTACTGAAAATATATGTACGTTCTTGCAGATAAGTCAGCAACTTTATTTTCGAAAAGCGAACCCGACGAGTGAATGTTTCTATTTATTTTGTATTCGAATTCGATCACAGCATATACGATGAACAGGCTAATCAATTATTGACGACCGTGGCAGGGAATGCGCGACGAGTTTGGGTGCGCCTGAATTTGGTTCACGCTATATGCAGGGCATGCAAACACGGCAAACGCCGTGTGGTAACACTTTATAAACAAAAGTCATAAAGCAAACTTAAAGTTATGAATTTTTCAAATTCCTGATTTATATGTAGGGAAAGTTTTCTACCCACTCACACACACACACACACACACACCGCACACACAGGAATATCTACGTGTGTGTTAGTGCAGCCTGAAAGAAGTTGCCATTTTTTTTTTCGTGTTTCCACAGCATTTTTTGGCAAGTTTTGCATCTTTTTTTTTCCTTTTTGCGTTGCATAAAGTTGGAGTTGTCACGTGACTTGAGAACGGAGACGAGGGAACATCACATAAAATAAATTGCAGGCAGATAGAGGCGACTCCTGGCAGCAGGTAGCTGCATACAATGCCATGCCTTGGCATGTGCATGATGTGGTGTGAAAAGCGCTGGAAATGGTATTTACAGCAGAGTAGACTAACTAATGTTTAGCCGGCAAAAGAAAGCGTAGGTAGCATATGCTCGGGTGCACGTTGTCTTTGTTTTAATATTCATATTTGAGCATCAAAAATTATTCGTTGAAATTAAGTTGCATTCTAAACAGGGTGGTTGCTGTTGGTTGGAAGGGGGAGGCGGTGGGTGAGGGTCCATTCAGTAGAGAAGAGGGAAAATAGCGTTACGGAGAGATGAGACAACAAGCAACGAAGTGAGCTTAAAAGGGACAGCAACGAAAATGCTTTGAATTTAAAATCTGCAATTTTCTGTTGATTGCCGCACCCAGGAGCCGCAGCAGCAGCAGCAGTGGCAGTAGCAGCAAAGTGCAGTTATACTGTAGCATGCAACAACAACAACAACAACCTCAAAGTGTTGGCGGTTGGTAACTGGCGAATGGAGGAGAAGCTGGAGAAGGAGCAGAATGAGCAGCAGCAGCAGCGGCAACATCATCACAACTTTTGCGTAAAATTCCAGTCATGTGTCCCTAACAAATCCCTGCATTATTCATGAAATGATAAGATGACTTTGTGCTGCCGTCGTCGTCGTCCGTCCTGCTCCACCCGCACACTCTACTGCTGCTGTCTTCTATCTACCAGCTCTGCACGTAATATTTTTACATGCAGCTGCAGTCCGGACAGCCGGACAGTCTGCCCTGGTTGTTGTCTGCATTTAACTACCAGGGATATCCGTTAACTATAAAACTTGCACGCAGACAACAGCCCGAAAGGTGCCATGCACGCCGCTCAAAGGCAAGTGGGAAAAGTTCTCCAGCTATTGGCCAGCCCATATGAATATGTTAATGGTTAGCAGAAGTGAGAGCTAGGCTAGGGGTGGGGTCTGGGTAGGGGAGCTCCACTCATATAGCAGGATACCTGATGGCGGCTGTTAACTATAACCGAAGCAGCTACTGTTAAGCGTAACAGGAACGCTGTTAGTCAATTGAGAGCGCTGTTAGTTAAGAGTTGAGTTGAGTCTCCAAAAGCGACAGAGCTACAAAACGGCAGCTGCTGCTGTGGCGCAGCATCCTCTCTTCGACTCTCTTTGCTGGTGCTCTTGCGAGAAAGGCGTCCTGTAACGGGATTCCCAGCGGTCGTGTAAACGAGCGTCGAGAGGACGACCCGAGGCCACGAAGTCTTCAGCCGCAGCAGCATCAGCAGCAGCAGCAGCAGTGCCAACGACGACGATGCTTCCGAGGACTGTGGGCCGCACATCGCGTGCTCACAGCTTCAGTCAGTTCGGAAGCCTGAAGCCGCGCGGAGATACCCTGGACAGTGCTGCGTTGTCGCCCGTTTTGTGGTCAATAAAAAAAAAACAATTATTATTAAGACATGAAATCGCTGAGGACTCGTTGCCACTCTGTGAGAGAAAACCAAATGAACTCAAAATAAACCGGGCAAAAGAACAATCCTCATACCTCGCGAAATGTCAATTAGTGCTTGCCGTAGTTAAAATTCCAGTCACTCCGATAACCAGAATCTGGATTCGCACGTTTTTCTGAGCCAGAGCTTGGCAAGCGGAAAAAGTATCTTTAACTGACGGAAAAACTGAACTGGCAACTTCCGCTTCCGTCGAGTGCTTCAATTTCAGTTTAATGTTAACTCTGACAAAACCAAATTGACATGAAGGAAAATACAGCAAAAGACTAAGCAAAAAAGGTACTGAGAACAAGCACCAAAGGGAGGATAAGTGGAAAAGGTGGCTGCTGGCAGGATGGCAGGATGGCTTATTCAAATATTAAACACATGGATTCGTTTGAATTTGGCATTTAAATTATTTAAGTTGACAAAAACATACATACGTACAGACATCCGTACATGCATATATATACAGACTTTGGATCGGATGCCTGGGAGTCTGCCACGCCCACTCGTCTGCCGCTGGACCATGTTTTCCGTGCGTCCCTGTGCGTTGTCTGTGTTGTCTGTGTGTTTGTTTTGTGTCTGCCCTTCTGTGCGAGCATTGCCTCCATTTCATTGCATTCCTTTCCGTTCCTTTCCCTTTCATGCGAGTACGTACTTCCTGTCTCCAGCTCGAGTCCTGGCCCTGGATGCTGCTCCTTGAGCTCGAACGGCTTCCTCCTCTTCTTCTTCTCTCTAATGTTTGTTATTTATTTATAACGGCACTGGCAGAGCGTATCCTTTGAACTTTTCTGCATGAGTTTGTCGCTCAGTTTACTTATTTATATTTCATCCTCCACTTTCTTCGCCCCATCTTCATTTCGATTTCGATTTCAATTTGGTTCCATTCCTTTTTGTATACTCTCGTATATCCTTTGACACTGGCATCAATTAATAGCGCCACCCATTGACCTCCACTTGGCACAGTTCGATTCTAGCTACGATTTTTTTTTGTTTCCAATTGCTACAAAAGGATCCTCAGCTACATACAACTTTGTTATCAGCCAGAAAGAAAAACTGCATAAATCAACGACACTGCCAAAGCCAAGGGCAACAATAACTGGACGAAGCAATTAATTTTATTCAGACATTCAAACGGATCCGGCTGGACGGACGAAAAATGGATAACGGCTCGCTGCTGTTTCTGTTCATCGCGCTTTTAATTGGTAAGTTTTTTTGTCTCTTTTTTTTCTTTTGATTCGAAATTGCTGTCACATGTCTGCTCTCTGCTCTCTGGTGTTTTTTTTTCCTCCACTCGTGCCATCTCATGTCGTGCTGTGCTGCTGTTGCTGCTGTTTGCTTGGATAATGAAGCGGTTTCGGGGATTACGGTGCGTGTGTGTAATGCGGGCCGGGCAAATCGACGCTGCTTTCGCCTCCATTGCCTGCTCGCATCAAATGCTTCCCGCTTTCAATTGCATTATTATTATTATTATAATTGTTATTGCTGTTGGGTCGAACCGCAACCGCAAATCAATATTGGCAAAGTTTTCGCTTCTGGCCAGATTTCCGTCACTACAGCCCTGGGCTCTGGGACTCTGGGCTGTTTTAATGACTTTCGCTATAATTTCCACGGCTCCTGGTGGTTGTGGTGCCGCTGTTGCTGCTGCTGCTGCAGTTGCACTTTTCACTTGCCACTTGGCTGGTTCGTGGGTTCGGCAGCCTTCATCCCTTTTGGCATTTGGTAATTTCTGCTGCCGCAACTTTTGCCTCCGCGTATTCTGCTGCTGCTGCTACTGCTGCTGCTGCTTCTGCTGCACATCTTGAGTGCAGTTTAAACTTAAATTGTATTTTTGAAATGTTCGCAATTAGGCAGACTGCCAAAGGCATCCTCCCTCTGCTTCTCCGTCTCTTGAATTGCCAATGGCAGTGGGGCAATTAATTTGCAGCGCATTAAATGAGCTGGCGCCCTTCGCTTCTCTCCTTTGCACAGCGCGAACTAGAACTAGAAATTGTACTCCCATCACCGTGTGTGCGATGGGAAAGTTCACTGAAATGCACTTGGTACCCGTAAATTGGAAAAAGGAAAAAGGCAATGGCCACAGCAGATTTTCACTTTGTTTGATTGTTCCCCCCAATTTTATTTAAACTTTACTTTTGGCATTGATTTTGGGGGAGACCTTATATGGTTCCTGGTTTCAGTACATACATGTAGGTATTTTAAATACATGAAAACATCTCAAAATAATCTAAATAAATTTAGTGTTTGTGGCTTGAAAGCTTTCCCAATTAATTTCATGTGTCTTTTAGTTAGCAGTAAAAGATTTTTGGCTGGCTAATGAACTGACACTCATTTTTTGAAACTTTTCGCCACCCACTGATCGGGTATATGAAAAGTTTCAGTTCACCTGCCAGACTGCATCTCCTCTCCGTCTGTGGCTGACACATTTTCCTTACACACCTTTCGGCACATTCATTCGGGGGATTCCCGCAATCCAGGACATTCGCACAAAGGATTCCCACACAAAGGGAAAGGGGGTAGCAGAGCGAAAGACAGAGAGTGGGCGAGAAGGAGTGTTCTGCAACTTTTCAATTTCTAAGGACTCCTCACGCTCCTCACCGACAATATTACGAGTGTTTGCCATGTGCTTGCTCCTTTGGGCAACAATTTAGCCTGCCTAATGGAATTAAATATTGTCCATTGTGCCGTTCCAATTTACAATGTAGCCGTAGCCCCAATGTTTATTTTGCATTGGAAATTAGTTGGCCCCTTGGATCTGTTTCCCCTCCGACTGCCAATCAGAACCCAATTATTTTCAGATACAGCTGCGTTCTGCTCCCCACCGTTAACACTCTTATTATTTCCTATTCCACTGTATATTTCTTTCAAAAGCTTGTATGGGTTGCTGTGTTGGAGCTTATGACTTTTAATGAAATGAATATTTATGCTCATGAGCTAGCCACAAAAGACAAACTCGCTGGCTAGTTCTACTCCTATGTAAAAAGGTACCAGTACGCAGGAGCCACAGTAATCTATGAAAAAATACCATTGCAGAAATGTGTGCAAAAATGTCTCATCCCGGCGTCTCTAAATGAATTTATCACCAAACTTGGTCGGCGCTGCCCCTTTCCCCATATACATACCAATCCCGAAAATTCACATGTAAATTTTCTCCTGCATGGCATGGGGATAGTGGGGAGGGTAGTGGAATGGCTCGGTCGGTTCTGGTCTATGGAGTAAATGCGTTTGCCAGACACGAATGAAATGTGTAGGTTAATTATCAGCAAAGTTTTCATGTGCTGAGGTGTAAATGTATCTATGTTTGTATCTGCATCTCTGTACGTCTGCCATCCCCCAGTGTGTGGTAAGCCAAGCTGGGAAAGGGCTTAGCACACAAACATACCAGGCCAAAACCGACAAGGGGGATTGGTTGCCTTGCCCAAACAAATGGCAGACTAGGGCTTAAAGTTCTCATTAGTTTTGGTTGATTTAAAAGCAGTTTCGGACTGGGGCTTACGACTGCTTACGCAAGCAAAAACTTGCTAATGAATTCCATCAATTTCCCGCATGCTAGCCAAAGTATTTCGGCATTGGAATCAATTTTAGCCAAATATTTAAATCCATACACAACATAAATGTGTTTGTTTGTGTTTGCTTGTATGCCACTTAGCTTAAAGTTGTAAATGGCTGCAGTTTTATTCCTTAACCATACACTTCCAATTGATTTAACTGAATACCCATGAAAATAAATAACCATAAAAATAAATAAATTTATCAAAAGGGACTAAAGTATTTAGTTACATTAAGCACAAGAAATAGTTCGTTAATTGTGTGTTTGAAGTTACAATTATTACGACATTTTCTCGTTTTATATTCACTCGAAACTTAACTCTACCCAGTTCCTAGAAAAAGTTCTTCTTCGAAAATATCATTTGCCGTTCAGATGGAAGATACATTTCAAGCTCTTGCGTATTTATCATGACATTTACTTTATCTTGGGTCCTAGGTCCGTGTCCGTCATCCTGCAGCAAACGCATCCCTTGCCTCATGGTGAATTCATATTTTGAAACACAAAAGTCGAGTCGTTTGACAGTTGGTTTGTTCGCATTTCTTATCAGTTCTCGGACACCGTCCACCCACTGGAAGTTTATTCAGTTTGTAGCCAGGCTTATCGCTGGCCAGCACTGCCCTCCGAAAGGGGTCTCTGGTCCTGGTCCTGCCACAACTATCGTACATATGCCAGTTACATATGGCCGCTCCTCTGTATCCCATATCCATTGCATTTTGTTGCGCTTAGTCCATTTCCTCTCACCCTCTTTCTTCATCTCTCCGGCCATCTCTTTCTGCTCTACTGGCTGCAGCTACCCAGCTACCTGACCAGCTAACTGTTTTGCATATTCATTTCATGAAATTTCAAATTTATTCGATGTCTCATGTGCCAGAGCATGGCAAGCCCCCTGCAAAAATTTGGCCACCACGTACCCATCTCCCATCTCTTATCCCGCCCTGTAGCACAGGTCAGTCACCTACGTGAATTAAAAATTACGCATCCCAAAAGGCCCCCCCAGACCCCACCAGCCGAACCAGCAAAATTTCTGTGTGCCTGTGCATATCCCTATGTTTTAGACACCAACATTTTGTCATTGGCCTGTGGCCGGGTTCCTGTGTCCGATGCCGATGCCCAGAGGATGCCGGAGCTCTTGTTTTGTGCCTGTGCATGTTGCATTTAACGGTTCCATGCACCTGCGGCACACCCCACAATCGATTACAGGAAAAAGATCGGCATGCCAGAAATCGGGCACTGCTTTAATTATTTTGTTTCAGTAACAAAATATTCGTTAAAATTGGGGTGTAACTTGTGTTTTTGGTTAGTATTTCTTTTGAAATGAATTCACCTTTGTTATCTCTTTTCGTTGTAGTCCTTTTTGTAAATAGCCATTGCTATATAATCGAAAAAATTATAGCAAAAAAATGAATGGAGTTCAATAACAGTAATTAAAGCTAACTAAAGTTGGCTAAGAAAAAATGACAGCACAGATAGGTAGCCGCAGCTGACGACAGGGCGCTGCTCACTTTGACTCGCAGAGAGGAAATGACCACAAAGTGATTGAAGGCCGGAAGCTGCATAAGTTGGCTGTTTATCCACATCCACTCTGTGTACATGCGGGTTGGCGGAAGTAATTGAAAAAGCAATCGAGAACCTATTCCATAAAGTTTCTCTCAGAAAGCTTAACAGCAACAAACTGTTGCCTGGAGTATTTATGTTTCAGTTACCAGATATCAAGAGCACATTCTACATTTGACAAACAATTTCAGCATTATCTTACCGTATCGCAGTTTTGTTAAATTTCCATCTATTGTTATATTTTATTATAGAACTAAAAACAATAGCTATAACTCAGCTCTTTTCCCATTTCTTTACTGCAGATTATTCAAGCGTTTCGGCGCTGTTCGTTACGGACATAAGTGTGCCAGAAATAGTGGACTTTCGGGACAATGTAACGCTCTCCTGCAGCTATGACATGCGAGGACACACCCTGAACTCGGTCAAATGGTACAAAGATCACGAGGAGTTCTTCAGGTAATATTGATGGCGAAATCTGCATGCAAGAAAATCGTTTTGATTGGCTCTTCCCCGCGATCAGGTACTCTCCGCTGGCGAGTCCAATTTATATGACATTCGGCGTGCCCGGCCTGCAAGTGCTCGATGGAAAGTATCTGTGCAACGAGTCCAGCTGCCGATTGGACCTGAGCCTGCAGGGTGCCCGATCCACGGGCTTGTACAAGTGCGAGGTCAGCGGCGATGCACCGCACTTCAAGCTGGCGGACAAGGCCGACAACATGACGGTGGCAGGTGGGCACAGGCCGCATAGCACTTTTCAATTTGTCCCCCCGCTAATTTCTGCCTTCCATTAACACAGCCCTGCCCCAGAGCGACCCACTAATCGAGAGCTTCAACTCTATGTACCGCATGGAGGAGTTCCTGAGTGCCACATGCTCCTCGGACTACTCCAGCCTACCCACCCGGCTCACCTGGTACATTAACGGCGAACAGGTTAGTGCCTAGTCCACGGTTCCCTGTCCCCTAGACATTCTACCTGGATTTCCATTCGATTGCAGCCTCTGCTGGGCGAGCTGCAGCCCACCATTGACACCAGCATCCCGGCCCACGACTATGTGCTACGTCGCCAGCGGCTGCAGGTGCACTTTTATCTGCAGGGACAGCGCTTCTACCAGGCTGGGAAAATCCTCGAGCTCAAGTGCGTCGCGGAAATTGAGAATTATCCGGAACTGAGGCGGGAAACGTCGCTCAGCGCCTCACTCTCGCAGTTCGATAATTTGAACAATCAAATGCTGATACATGCGGGCACAAGTAAGTACCAGACCCAAGCCCAGAGTCCCCCCTACTTCTTGCTCCTTTTCCGATTCGGTTTTTGGTTTTGGTTGTGCAATTTAGCATTTCGTTTCGTTTGCCTCGGTTTCGTTTCAATGCAATTAACTAACCGCCGTGACATTTCCTCTGGCTTATTTGTCTTTTCCTCCTTTTTTTCGCCCGACTTGCAGATTCTGGCGCCGCACAAAGGAGCTGCGTCTGGGGCACGACATCGCTAATTTCCGGCTGCCTGGTGACACTTGTTCTGGCACTCTGTTTTCGACAACCATCATGAACGGGCTCCGGATTGCTCAGGGACTGGGAGTGGGAGTGGGAGGCGCCTAGTGTGGCGTCTTTGTCAACTATATCATCGCGTTAGTTAGTTAGTCAGTCAGCTAGTCACTTAGTTAGTTAGTTAGGGTAACACACAAAGGTAAGACCGCAAACTAGTCAATAGGCAAAGCTTTCGGGTGTGTAAATACGGTTGAAGTCGTGTTGAAGTTTACAATTTTTAGAGTGTGCCAAAAATATTCACAGGTTGAAGCAATTCCCGATGAAAGAAACTTCATTTCATGTGAATTAAATTCATCCATTTGTTTACGATAAGAAGTGATTTATTTTCCGTATGTAATATGGTTTTCAAACCAATTGAACTGAGGCTGCCAATACTTTTGAGTGTAATCTCATCGTGTAAACACAGCTGATGAATAAATATAAATACACATACATACGTGTTCCTCATCGCTAAATGTCACGGGGTACTTGTAAATGAATGTTTTCAAGTTGATTAGCTGAACACACACGAATCGCAACCACGTTAAAACAGTAAAACAGTAGGTAAATATATTAAATCAGGAAAACTGCCACACACAAAAAAAGTTCGACCTGCCTGTTACCGATACCGAATACCGATACTATCCAGAATAATGTCACTCGCCAGCAAAGCGATCGAATTTATATCGAATGTATGTATATATATATATATATATAGATATGTAGATGTAATTTTTTCCGTTCGTTGCTTGGCAATCGAATGACAAACACCAGCGTTGGTAGAGCACATTGAACACTTTTCGAGTACTATATTTATCCGCACACTATTTGTCCGAGGCGTTGCCAAGTGGATAATGGGTTATGGGAATACACACAAAAAATATGAATGCATATGAAACACAATAAAAATAGTCGTATACATATACATAAACATGTATGAATCACACACAAAAAAAGATGGAATTATTGGAATAACATGAGATTTTATCAGTGGGAAAGAATATGCAGATGCTGTAAAAATCATTATAATTAAGTCTAGCATAAATATGCTGTAAATACAATTTTAAACATTCAAAACAGAGGACAGACAGCACTATAAATCATGTCATAAAGCCAGACCAGACTCCTACAAAATACGTACATGCATGCATATGTTTGTATGTATATTGTACATGCATATGCACATGGGAGTTTAAATGTCTGTCGGCCTGTACTTCCAGCGTCCAGCTAACTAAACAAAATCGCAGCACATAGTAAGTTTCATTTGGCTGAGCGACTACAAATATAAACTTAATGCTATCCACGGGCCGATGTCCTCCCGTGACCATAAACAGCAAAATGAAAAGGTAATTTCCACTGAGAGTGGGACAGAAAAAAAAGGAATGCGTACTCAGGCTACATTTGAATAAACAAAAAAACAAAAACGAAACCAAATAATATAAAATAATTCAGTATAACTTGATATACACACTTAACGAAATGAAGCCTGAACATTTTTGAAATCACTTTTGTTAATAAATATCCAATTAAAATAAAACTCAGATTGTGTGCTGAAAAAAGTGTGCAGAAAATTAAACATTAATGTATAAATTAATTTACCTACTCATTCGCACGTCTTTCGGTTGTAAACGCAAATCAGAAATAACGAATAACGATAATGTATTGTATATAAGAGAATTTGTTTCGTTTTTTTTTTTTGTCATTTTGCCGCACGGCCATTGTAATTGTGTAAAATATTTCAAAGGGCAAACTGCATCATGGAAGGCGGAGGGAGAATCGCAATTAATTTTACTTTTTTGTTCTCTTGCTGTTCATGAAAAATTCAAATAAATAAGATAAATAAATAATTCAATTTATGGATTCAAATGCGTTTATTCCGACTACATATCGCTAATCTGCAGCATTACAGACAGGTCGGCGCAGCTCAACTACCCAATGTGGTCGGTTGAGTTTTAATTGAATGCCAATGCCCCGACCGTCGGTGGTGGTCTGCAGACAATACATGTGTTCAATATGTGCATCGGGTCGCGTTCAGTAAGCCCTGGGTTGTGGTACGGCAGGAGCTGTAAGCCTTTAATAAGGGGATTTCGTCTGGTCGGCTCCCGAAAGCAGGCAATAGATGTTTGAGGTTCGGTATTGAGATGTGTTGTGAAAGAACATTCCATTGTCTATAGCTTTGTGGTGGTTCACCTGTGTGGAAAATGAGATAATTTTCGGATAGATTTAATGCTTGGTTCGACAGAGTAATTTTCAGTGCAGAACAGTAAAGGTCGACGTCTCTACACAATACTTTCAGGGGACTTGTTCCTGCGATAAACAATGGAATTCTATTAAATACCCAGAGAATGAGGTTCTCCACACCCCTGCCAGTGATGGAATGTACTCGTTTAATTTGAAATAATAACTTGTTTAACTACGCAAATTTGCACAATTAATTATGCTAATGAGGCTCGGCACAGCCGAAACCGAAAGCCGGGCCAAAAAGGCAACGGACAGCCGAAAGCCGAGAGAGCTTAAACAATAAAAAGGGTTAAATAATTAATTTCAATGCTGCTGCAATTAGTTGCCACTAAATGTTGCATGAGTTCTGTCCTGAAGATGGGCCATGACGAACACGAAAAGGGAGACTCCGCAGCAGCTCCGACAACCAGAAGATGACAAGAAGACGGAAGGCACAAAAAATATAAAAGATAGCTGACAAAGGCCAGGACCACTTAATGAGTCCGGACCGGACCGGACCCCAGTGAGGCGCTTCGAGCTAATCAAATTAGCTGGCCATGGACTTTTGATCAAGAATGCGCCACTTTTGAAATTTTCGCTCCATTTGACGCGGCGCCACATGGCGTATGCGTAATTTATGTGATTTTAATTAGCAGGACAACGCCTGAGTCGGTTGCCTGACTTCGCGACGTCCGCCAACCCCCGAATACATGCATGACTTATGACGCCTGGCTGTCAAATTCATGATTCGGCAGTACACTTAATTGAAATTAATTCTGCATTATTTTCTTCTGATTTTCGCGTGACTTTCTGGTGTTTATTTCGAGCCTGAGCCCGAGCCTGCCAGTTGGCATGGAATTTCAAACATTTTCAATTAAGAAAAGGAAACGCAGACAGTGCGCACATCAAGTCGAAGTTCCGCTGGGTGAGACGAATCCCCCGGAGTTGAGTTGCGTCTAAGTTACCGAAAAGAGAAGATCCAAAATAAAGTGAAGTGAATTTTTCGCGCTTTGGCATTTGTCAAAGTTTCTCCCGACGAGAAGCGACGCGACGCGCGGCTCGAGTGTCCTTCTGCTTGAGTTTTTTTTTGCTGCCACTGCCGTTGGTGCAGTCGTCGCCTGTTTGCGTTTCATTAAAATCCATTAAAATGCTGCAAATCAAATTAAAAGTTTCAACTTTTCTTATTCTTCTCCGCTCCCCCCCCCCGGTCCGCGCTGGGAGCTAAGCAGTCATCCGGCAGTTGGCATCATTGTCAAAGACGCCGCCACCACCATCGCCGTTTACGGATACCCCCCGAACCTTCGATGGGTCCGAGATCGGTCCAGCAGTGCGACTTCCAGTATCATGCTCTTCATTTGCATGCGCAACATTTTCAAGTGACAATTGCAAATATCTTGCCTACACCCTCCGCCTGCCCTGCCTTCCCCACGACTGCTCTGTTATTATGCAGAAATTACTTTTTAATTTCTTCGTTAATTCGTTGAATTTGTGCCTGGCCCCGGGGTTCAGCCAGCAGCCAGCAGTCGGTGGTCATTGTTTATTAATTACAGCCGGAACAACTCATCGATAACAAATATCGAAGCGAATCTGTTATGACCCGTTGACCTATTGAGCGCTACGTGACCCACAATGACTCATTTGTATGTGGCCGGGCGGCAACCTCATCGAGCCGCATGCCACGCATACCAAACAGTTGTTGACACAAATGCCGTCAGCTCCCAGTTGCTTATTCCCAAATTGATATGCAAACAGCAGCAGCCCCTGCAGAGACCTCAGCTACAGCTACAGCCACAGCCACTTCCACAGACCCATCCACCGCCTCATCCCCGGCCATGGGAGGGTCGGAAGTCGGCTTCACCTCCACTCCAAAATGCTATTGTCAGGGCAGAGATTTCAATTTTGATTCAAGGCTGCCTCTTACAGTATAGAATTATCAGAATTGGCAGAGGCTAAATAGGAAATGGCTAGCTAGTTCAGGATTAGTAAATATTTGAGGATTAGTTGCAGTGCGTAGTACTGGGCGAGGGCTGTATTTTGGATTTGTGTATTTTACCTAATACATCTTACATCTTCAAAGCATCTTGAATAATGATACTTTTATTTAAAACTATTTTTTACTAATTCAACCACTTAATATTTACGACTTTAACATTTCATTGTTTGTTTATTCAGTCCAAAAGTCGTACATCTAAGTTCCAGTTCGTGTTGAAATGTTCCCCTGACTAAGGATATCCATTTACCCTGCTCCCCTTGAGCAAGACATTTCAACGGTCTTGGCACCGTTTGGTGGGGGGGTAATTGAATATAGCGGCTTCATCCATTTATGTAAATACGTGTATATTGTTTAGTTGAATTATTTTCCGCCTTTTTGCACATTTTTATTTTGCCGATATTATTTCCATGGCTCATTCTTGTCCCGTCCCCCGTTGTCTGTAACGTAACCAGATTCCGGCATCCTTCCCCTCCCAGCTCTCTCTTTGCTTGGCCGCACATGAGTTTTTATAGTTTTTCATTATTTGCATAGGGCTTATCTCTGGGGAGAATTAGTATAAAGGAGGATTCCAGCACAGCGAAAGAAGCGAAGGAACAAGGGCCACGTGGGACTGGGTTCAGGTCCGGGGCCAGGGTTCGGGTCCAGGCAGCAGGAGCCAAAGTAACAACCGTCGATTGTCGCGGCGCCTGTCGCACCTGCACCTGTAGGGTGCGTGCCCCTCCCTGCAGCCACTCCCCCCCACCTCCGTTGAGTGGCTTTCGCTTTGGCCTGGCAAAAATGGAAATTTGCTACCGCTTATTTATTTTTTCTTTCCCAGTTTCCCAGCTTCCCAGTTGCCCAGGCCCATTCTGATCCCAGTTCCCTGCGTGTGCCGCTGCTTGGCTTGTGCAAACGAAGCATGAACTGGGAGCGTAATTCAAGCGGAAAATTGTCGCGCAACGGCGCGTCGTTTTCCCATCTTGCCGGTGACGCAGTCTCGTGCTATTCCCAGCCCAGCCCCACACAGCCCGGTCCCAGCACACGGTGCACTGAGCTATGTAAACGGCACACGGCTCTACGAGTTAACAATGTTTTAGACCTGGCCTCTGCCACTGCTGCTGCTGTTGATGTTGCTGCCGCTGCTGTTACCGATGTACGCGCAGTTGTCGCGTTGTTAATATTCTCGGCTTGCACGCCCCTTTAAATTGACGCACATTAGGGGGTCGAGGTCCGAACCCGAGCCGGAGACAAAAGCTCAGACTCAGCCTCAACCTGTGCCATGTCCAGGCACGAGGCACTCGGCACAAGGCATAGGACCTGCTCTCGTTTCGTTTTGAACAGCCAACCAATTGGAATGTTTGATCAGGCATTGCATTTTGCTCATCATTTCCATCCATTTCCTTTCACCGACCGCCACATCACAAGGAGATCCAGCCGGCCGCAATTGAAACTCGCGGTCTGGCCCCAGTCCAACCCAACCCAACCCAACTCAGCCCGATTCTCGGTTTCCTATTGCCGGCTGCCGGCTGCCGACTGCCGGCTACTGATGCCGGGGCTCGCCGCAAATCGTGTTAGCCACGCCATTAGCAAAAGCTTGCAGAGAACCTGGCCAAACAACAACACCATCATCAGCAGCATCATCAGCATCAAGGAGTGGACATGCAATTGAGCAGGACTCCAGTTCTGTCCCACTCTAGCTCCTAATGTGCGCGCTCCAGTGGCCGTAAACCAATTCAAAAGCATATTTGCATGCGCTGATGGACCGTGGACCGCAGGGAGTGACTGAGCCGGGATCGGATGGCTGAGGAGGAGATTGAATGTATCGAGTGGTCGGGCGCGCTTTGAAATATAATATTTGGCCAGAGTTAGCGAGTGAGTTAGAAGTTCCAACCGAGCCAAAGGCTTTGTGTCGGGCCAAATCACTTGAAATTGAGCGCACGCAAGTCCTGTAATGCCCCGCTTGCCGATGCCGATGCCGATGGCATGTCTCCTGTACCAACATTGCGGAGTAACACCCCACTGACTGATGCCGTGCCTATGTCACCGATGAAGAGGCCAATCCCGGTACGCATAGTACCCAATACCGATTCCGATGTCGATGCTGATGCTGATGCCGATGCTGATGCCGATGCCGATGCCTTTTGCACCATGTGCGAGCCATAACAATGTGGAAAATTGTTTCCTGTATCAATTTCACACATTAAGGAAGCAATTCGATTTTATCGCTTCCTCATGACTACACGTTCAATTATTGAAGAGTTTACGTTTGCCTTCGGCATTGCCCTCCATTTGGTGCCTCCAAATGGAGGCCATGGCCTTCCTGTTCCCGCAACACCCAGCATAGAGCCGTAAGTAGTCGCTGTTAGCCTCTTTGCCAAAAAGCATTTTGCATACATTTCTGTCTGTCTGTCTGTCTTTGTGTCTGCATGTGAGTGTGTGGCACTCGTAGTCGGGTCGGAGGTAATTCTTTTCAATTGTTGTCTTACAGGGCGTTTTACAAGCCATTTTGTGCCCTTTGGCTGGGGCTTTGTCGGTGAGGTGAGGCTTAGCTGGGCTCAGATTCCACCTAATCTTTGATTTGCTTTGCATTTTGTTTGCTTGATTAATCAGTTAGTGTTTGCTTTGTATGGTTTGTATGTTTCGTTCTATAATATTTAAAGTTTTCATTGGGTTATCAGGTGGCCATCAGCGTTTGTTACTCACGATATTTTGCTCTGTACATATTAGTTGGGAAGCATTTAAATAGACAATTGAAGGACTTGAAAATGCACTTAATCTGTCAAGTAACCAATTTTTGAATTGAGGCTCCACTAATTAACACTTGGGTGCACTTTGGTAACGGGACATGCCACTGCCACATCATTTGCCCGACAATTTGCCATTTCGTTTACAAATGAAACATTTTATTGAAGGAATCCTTTGGCATGGCCATATGAGCCGCAGCCTTGAACTTTCTGCTCTGCTCTGTGGCATCGGCATCGGCACGCACGGAGACAAT